CACTCCAATCTACATTAATCATGTCCTTTGAATTAACAGAGGGCTTTATTTACTAAACACTAAATTGTTTATGCAGAGATACTTGTGCTAGGAACGAGTGGTTTATGCGCAGGGGTCTGAGAAAAAGACAACGTATTTTTTTAAATGATTTGTTTTTATTGAAATTAATGTTACGCATTTTTATGATTAAGGCTTTTGGTTGAAAGAATGTAACTGTTTGCAAGGCTATCAGCAGACAGAGAGAAATCTATGGGGACGTGGAGTTAGAATAACCTGAGCGCTGTTGCCATCTACTGGCGAGTTCAGACAAAATGTATATTGTGAAATTCTGCAGCTTTCCTTTTAAATGTTGATCATGGGCAATGTACATTGAACTATTCACTATTTTTTTTTTTAGTTCGTCACATTCAAGAGCATGCACTCCTGTCCTGATTTGCACCAGACTGTCCCTTCAAGTGTTGCTATAGATGAAAGTCACTGTATCTTCATCTAGGAATGAATATTCACAAGGAAAGCAGGTCTTTTTGGGAGATAATCAGGAATTATTGGGTATTGATTCTGCTCCTGCTTATACATTACCAACATTTGCCCATACCATTTTCATTTACCACTCCAAACCCCATGCATTGTTATCCCACCAAAACTATGACTAACCGTGTTGACCTCAAAGATAGCAAACCTCTACCACCTTAAGTGTTATAGACTATACTTCCACTGAGGCTCAAACAACCACTGGTTGGCTTTGCATCATGAGAAATGCAGTCTACAGCAGCTGATTTGCCGCAGTTTAGACATCAGTGGTATTAAGGTCCAGATCACTTAATTGGTTCCACACTTAAAGGGACACTATAGTCACCCAGACCCACTTCAGCTCAATGAAGTGGTCTGGGTGGCAGGTCCCTCAGGTTTTAACCCTTCAGATGCAAACATAGCAGCTTTAGAGAAACTGCTATGTTTACATTTGGGGTTAAGCCGGCCTCTAGTGGCCGTCTTCTGGACAGCCACTAGAGGCGCATCTGCGATACTGGAGGCATAATCGCGCAGAGCGTCCATGGGAAAGCATTGGACAGATTGAATGTGCTCGCGGCTCTTGCCGCGCATGCGAATTTGGCTCCGCTGATGTCGGCAGAGGGAGCTGACGTCGACAGGGGAGGAGAGGTCACCAGCGCCGAGGTAGCCCGGCTCTGCAATAAGGTAAGCTGCTGAAGGGGTTTTAACCCTTTCAGTGCCACCGGAGGGGGACCCTGAGGGTGGGGGCATCCTCAGTGCACTATAGTGTCAGGTAAACCGCTTTGTTTTCCTGACACTATAGTGATCCTTTAAAAATGTGCAGATGTTTCTTGTTGAACGTGAAAAGTCATGAATAACTAGGGCTGATGAGTTATGGCGTGTCTAAACAAACATTGATTTGTTCACTTTTTGTCCTAAAGCAAAGTTTGAAGGCCCCGTGCTCCAAGACTTGCATCTGTTTGAGATTTTGGAGGAATGTCAACAAGGTTTTTTTGGCAAAAAGTGCAGTTGTTGGAGTCAGGCTGTTTTGCAAAAAAAAAAAATCAAATAGTTTTTGTTTGTCCTTGCCGTATTAACTTAACTCTCAAAATCCAAATATCCCTATGGTTCCATCCTATCACTGTGCAGAGCATTTCTTACTTTGAGTCACTAATGACTAGCCTGGATGCTCATTAAGACTTTTTCTTGCTTATGTCGTATTTGATTTACTACTCAGCCGACGTTGTGACCAGGTAACTGTCTTCACTTTTGTAATGTTCCCTTTTTGTTACTTTTCACTGTGTACGTTCTTTTTGCAACAACTACTGACTCTTTTAGTGCATTTTTTTTTATGCAAGTAAGTTTATTGGTGATATAACCCATTATCAACATTGTACTGTATCGCTTTTCCATGTGCTAATTTCTGTGTATTCTTAAAACTCAATAAAAATAAAATATATATTGAAAAAAAATCTAAATTTTCCACAATCATGTGCATAATATGGTATCCTCTAGCTGGCCTTCAGATCAAACTCAGATAAATTATAAATGCTGTTACTTACAGCCATAGGCGTGCGCATGGGGTGTGCCTGGTGTGCCTGGGCACACCCTAATCCCCGCGGCACGCCTATGGGTTGAGAGCATCAGGGGAGATCTCATTTACACCATGCTCGAGTGTGGAACGCATGGTGGAACGCAAAAATATCATGTGACCGCATCTAACCGGAAGTCACGTGCGTTTTGCCGAAACCGGAAGTGACACGATCGGCCTTTATTTGGAGACTACAGCTGGACCTATTTGAACATATCAAGGGGGCTATTTAAGCCCTGAAGTTTTTTCCAGGAACTTAGCACTGAGGAAGGCCCTATCAGGGGCTGAAACGCGTTTGCACTTTACTGGACTTCTCTATTGGGACTTTTTTCTGGCGGTATTTTCTTATTGTTTATGTATTGTAGTGTTCCACTGCTTTAAAGTTTTGGCCATATTTGCGGTGCAATACTGTATTATATTCCATGGTTATACCTGCCTTGTCCCTAGTTATTTATATTCTTTTTTAATATTTTATTTCAATAAATTTGTATTTGCATCTACTACTGTGGACCTCGAGTTCTTCCAACAGGAATCTATCGAGAGCCTGAATAGGCACCCAAGAGTGATGTGCATAGAGCCTATGAGGCTCCACCTTTGTGAGTTCAATCCGCATATATTATAATTTGTTTATTTTAATTTATATGGAAAGCACTATGTATGTTCCATTTGTTTTTCAGATGTAACCAACATATTTACGTCTACAATAGGTGGTATACCTATTTATGTATATATTTTGTATATACTTTTTCTGAGTGTGTGTGAACCTATCTATTTATCTTTCTACTTTGTCTTTGGGTGTTAAGGGATTACACCTTTTTTCACACTCACTCCTATTGTTTGCATTTAAGGTTGGAAGCGCCTACACAACTATATACTTTTTGTATATTTTGTCTTGTTCTCAGGATCCACCCTGTCAGCTCATGCAGAGCCGGCGCTATCTGAGCGCCGGCTCTGCTCTAAGCCTCCCCTGACCGACCCACATGCATGGAGGGAGGCAGGAGAGGACCAGGGGAGCTCTTGCCAGCAGTTCCGCCACGTTCCTCTTGCGAAGTCAGAGGGTAGAGTTCACTCTCCACTGGACCACAAGAGAAGGCAGCAGCAACAAGGATCCTCCCTCCCTACATAAGGTAAGAAGGGAGGGGGGATATTTACTAAATGGCCCACACACAATACACACAATCACCCAAACATACAGCACACACACACAGCACCCACACACACACACTAACAGCACCCTTACACATACAGCACCCTCACACATACACACTAACAGCTCCCTCACACACATCACCCTTACACACACACACACTAACAGCACCCTCACACACACATCACCCTTATACATACACACTAACAGCACCCTCACACACCTCACCCTTACACACACTAACAGCACCCTCACACACACATCACCCTTACACATACACACATACACACTAACAGCACCCTCACACACACATCACCCTTACACATACACACTAACAGCACCCTCACACACATCACCCTTACACACACACACACACTAACAGCACCCTCACACACACATCACCCTTATACATACACACTAACAGCACCCTCACACACATCACCCTTGCACACACTAACAGCACCCTTACACACACAGCACCCTCACACATACATCACCCTTACACACACATAACCCTCACACACACTCACACACTAACAGCACCCTCACACTAACAGCAGCCTTACACACACAGCACCCTCACACACACAGCACCCTCACACATACACAGCACACACTAACAGCACCCTTACACACACAGCACCCTCACACACACACACTAACAGCACCCTCACACTAACAGCACCCTTACATATACACATAAACTAACATCACCCACACACATACAGCACCCTTACACAAGCATTCAGCACCCTTACACACACATACAGCGTCCTTACACACACAGCGCCCTTACACACACACACAGTGCCTTCACACACACACAGCGCCTACACACACACACAGAGTGCCCACACACACACACAGCAGTACATGTGTGTATGCTTATGTGTATATATGTATACATATATATATATATATATATACACGGGGGGGCGTTTGTGCTTTAGGGTGCACACCCTTATACCATAGGCTGCGCACACCTATGCTTACAGCCCTGATGTGATGACTGATCAGTTTAGATTGGGGTCATGAAAAAGAGAAGGCGTCATGTTGAGCTCTCAGTGCCCAATGGAGCCTTGTATTCTGTGGACCAATGGCATCTTTACTAGATGTGGAGTTTCATTTTGTTTCGAATTTCAATTTATCCGAATTTAGGCCGATGAGGTGATTGTCCCAATTCCAGAACGTTGAACCAAAATGTAACCAAATTCCGAACCAACCGAAACGTGCAATGGACGTTTTAAAGCTAATCTTTAAAGCTTTAAAACCTAAGTGTTAACCTTTAAATATATATGTGATACAGTGATGCAAAATAAATTGGTTATTGTTTAGCAATGCTTTTTTCACATCCTAAGTTGAAAAAAAACACATTTACTTTACATTTATACATTAACCTGATTATTTCTTTACATGCATATATAGGTCAGTGAGTATTGTCCACTAGGGCTAATATTTAGGTAGAAACACAGAAATAAGACCTGCGCTAAAATGCCCACCACTCTTGGGTGGCAGGAATGGCCAAAGCATTCCCAAATTCTCATGCACATTTAAGTACCAGAGCTTTTTACTACCACTAAGGGTTGTAGTAGAAGTAGAACATTAAAATTCCTTGGACCACTCCTCCTGTCCTATTTACTTCTTAAGCTTACTCTATATTGCCGGTATCAACACAAAGTACACATGCTTGTAGATGAATAAATTAGATGAGAGTTTAGGTAAATTTAGGATCAAGTTTAATATACTTAAACAGATTTTTTTATTTATATTTTTGCCATTCTAGAGAATACTATTCAGACTGGCGAGTCTTTATTGAGATTGCAGAGAGGCCAGATGTTTGTGGGCTACATTAATTGATGGTGGCTTGGTAGTACCATAGACCTTCGCTTGGCAGCCTATCCCTTTCCAATACATTTCTACTACCAGCTAACTATGGGAACGAGATATGGAACTAGCAGTTTGGGAATTTCCAAAACGTCGGTTTAAGCTAGTGTCATACATGGAAACCTCCTGATCATAAGAATGCTTTGCCTTCATCATTGTTCCTACAACTATCATTTTTTGTTTTATTGTTAATTCATCTTTTCCTTCTACATGTTACTTTTTTTTATACTCACTATGTCTGGATCAGGCACACTGAAAGAATTTAATCAAGCCTACATTTGTCTATTAGCCAGACCGGTGTAGATGTCCATATTTGAGACTGGTAAGATCCTGCCCACCAATAGGTCTGCTCACCACTTACTCAGTGTTCTGTCTTATCTAAGTTATAAAATGCGTTTATATAATAGCAAAACGGCTCACCTTGATACCTCAGTCCAACCGGTCAGCCTTGTGCACTATGGGAAATGTAGTTCAGAAACACTTTGAGAGTCAAAGTGACTTTTATTGATATAATACATTTAGCTTGACTCAGTTTGTGAGATCTTGTAGACAGACTACCCCCCAGAGATATTTTTTAAATAATATAACTGCATGCATCTAAATATAAACATAAAAATATGAGTTATTGAACCATTGCGCATGTAAAATACAGCCTTCAATATATACTAACAGTGAATGCAAAACTTTATTTGACGTTACAACATGCTGAATATATTCCTTTTTTGGATAGATGCTCCGAAGTTCATACTAATTTCCTCTCAACCAAAGAGGACCACTCAGAGGGACCTTTGTGTTTTTGAACCTTTTTATATGACTGTCAAACCATAGGCATTGTAGACCTTACTCAGAAGTTCTTGTTTCTCTGATTCAGGTAGAAAACAGGATTGGGCTGCATTGATGTTCTGAAAATTAAAAAAAAAAAATTACATTCATTGTTACGATTTCCCCTTAATTCTATCTGTTCTCCCACAACAATTCTCATAACTTTAAAATTTATTTTTTGTTTCAGATCTGTAGAATTGATCGTTTTTAAGTGTGTCTGGCAATCCTAGATTTAAATTATTATCCTCTCTTCATTTGATAGTTGTCTTATTTTTAAAAACTGAAACTGTTAAAAAGTACACGAGCAGAGTTCAGTTGTGTATTTTATTTTTTTATTTTTTGAATTCCCATCTATCGTTTTAATATTTGTCAGGCTAAATTACATTTTTCTTGGACTGCTAAAATTCTTGTTATGAAGCCTGATTGAGACAGTGGTTTAACCCCTTAATGACACATGACATGTGTGACATGTCATGATTCCCTTTTATTCCAGAAGTTTGGTCCTTAAGGGGTTAAACAATGCGTAGACGCTCAGGAGAAAATATTAGAAGAGTGGACTTACTATACGCATAAAATCATCTTCATTGAATCCCATAGAAGTAGCTGCAATACGGTAATCATTTTCGAGTGTTGTTCCAAACGGAAGTGGCCCATCTGTGCTTAAAGAGTAGTTTGCTTTATCTGCCTTGAGCCTGAATTGAAAGAGAAGAATTTGCACAGAGTGGAAGAAATGTTCTGAGATTGGCCAATATTAAACTTTGTTACTCAAAATGAGGTACCACCCCCGAGGAGATATAAAGAACTCTCAAACTGGAATAAAGAAGGAGGGTTCCTATGAATGTGTAGAGGGACATGTGATTTTGTCCAGGTAGTAAGGTTAGACAAATATGATTGGTGGAATACCTGGCATAGGATGTACATCAGACCTCCTAAAGTACATGTAGAAAGACAAGGGACCCTCAAATGATACATAAGAGAACACTCTCTTATTGGTCAAAGATGTTAAACTAGTTGGACCAAATTCAGAATCTGTCATCAAACCCTGACCCGCCCTCCACCTCTTCATAATGCAACATAACCAGGTAAAATTAAAAACCAGTTTCTTTAAATTAATTTAAGGCCATTTTCTGAAATTTAATTTAGCTACAAACTATTTGTCAAAAGTCGTACTTTATTGAATTAACAACTATCGAGTCAGAACTATCTTTCAGCAGATTGAAGTTCAGGTACCTAGCCCACAGACAACTAACCCACAGACTTATGTCTATTACAAGAGGTCAGGGGCGGACTGAGCGGTCGGGCACTTCGGACATGGTCCAAGGGCCTGGCCGAGTAAGGGGGCCTGCCGCCCACTCTATGTGTCTGGCACTGTCAGTCATTCACACTACTAAATTGACCCCGACCACTCGAGTCCGATGCGCAATAACCGCGCCATCCTTGAGCTCGGTGAGGCAGTGGTTACAAGAAACAGGGCCCAGCAGAGCTGATGATGAATGCAGCCTAGTGTGCGTAGGCGCGCAACATCACGTCACGACCGTACATATGTTGATGTGCGCCTTTGGCGCGGGCCACTCCGATGAAAATAAATCAGGGGACCCTTTATCAGCGCTTACGGTCCCCTGATCTATTGCTGCTGTGCTGGAGGAAATTCCCCTGACCCTAATTAGCAACGAGCTGCCTGGACAGAAAGGAGGGAGACCAAGAGGCAGCACCAGAGGAAGGAGAGCCTAACTCCCATCATATTCAACCAGATACCACTGGACACCAGGTAGGAAAGCAGAAGGGATGGTTAAAACTATGTAATGTTATCTGTGTGTCTATGTATATCTGGGTGTCTATGTGTCTATGTGTAAGGCTGTGTATGTGTGCTAGTGTGTGACTGTGTATCTGTATGTCTGTGTATCTGTATATGTTTGTGTGTGTGTCTCGGTATCTATATGTGTTTGTGTGTGTCTGTGTATCTGTATGTGTATCTGTGTATGTCAAGAATGAACATGTGGACGGTGCGTGTATGTCGGCGCGGCCTATATTTGTGTAGCATCCAAGCTGGTGGGTACAAGACGGGCCCATGATCTTCTATTGCCCAGGGTCCCCGTGAGTTGTCAGTCCGCCCCTGCAAGAAGTTGAGGAAGAAATGGGACTATATACATTTTCTGAGATTTGGCTGAAAGGCTATGGATTTAAGTAGTGCTCATTAACTTTCATAGGCTTATTCTATAAAGTGAGAAAAGTCTGGAATACAAAGTGAATTTGAAATTAAAGATCAAAATTGCCAAACTGGTAAACATCTCCATGTCAGCTATGCTGCCAGACTGAGTACTTTGACCTTTAATTTAAAATTCACTTTGATTTCCAAATACTTGGTCAATAACTCTGTCTGTAACAGGTCTTCCACAGTCTGGTCTTTGGAACTGGCAATTTGTTAAAATTCAGTGGCATCAATAGCAGCTTATCCAGTGCTCAAATACCCTCAAAGGCCACCCTAATCCATGTAACGGTACCCAATATTTCATAAAAGGAGACTATAGTCACTCAGACTGCATCATCTCAATGTAGTGGTCCTGGTGTCGTGGTCCTTTCATTTTAACCCTGCAATGTAAAACACTGCAGCTTCCTTGAATGTAAAACATTCTAAATGAGGCAATAAGGCAATGTCTGAATAAAATGTAATCACATGATGTGGATGCTTATAGGAAAGCATTTGACTCAAAGCTTTTCTATGAAGCATTAGAGCGTGCATGTGCATCAAATCCCAAATTCTCCTCTCCACTCAATGACAATGTGGGAGGCAGAGAGGTGAGCAGCACCAATGGAATTTTGGTGTTGAAAAAAGGTGAGTGAAAACTTTATTTTATTACATTTATTTGAAAAAGGGGAAGACCTATATACAACGCAAGGGTAAGCAACCTTCTGCCCTCCAGATGTTGTGGACTACATCTCCCCTGATGCTTTGCCAGCATTATGGCTGTAAGAGTATTATGGGCGATGTAGTCCACAACATTTGGAGTGCCGAAGGTTGCCTATCGCTGATAGGGTCTGGGGCACTCTAGTGTTAGCAATATAAGTTTGTATTATAGTGTTCCCTTAATTCTACTCCAAGATGCTAATCCTAGACTTGGATCCCTTATCCTGGGCTAAGTACCAAAACAACTTTTCCACATAAGGAGACCAATCCTTATTTTCCTCCAGACAGGAATGATGAACCGTATATTTCTGGATATCTCCTCTGCTTGTAACTATATTGTGGATTTAAAGCACAGGAAGGAGTTAAACACCAGATGGGTCTCGACTGTCTGACTTGGCCACGCTAACAACACAAGCAGTGCATGCTGGGATTTGTTTGCTCTCTTACTTTTTCGGCATAACATTGTAATTACCAATGACAAGACAGATGTTACAAGACTCTAAAACCAAATTCTCATTCCGAGACTGGACTGTGCCGTAGCATTGCAATGAATTATCATTTTATTTATGTATTTAACCTAATCATGACAGAAGGTTTTCCTGTCCGTTTGCCGTGAAATCCCTGCAATATGGGATAATATGTAAATGGTCACTATAAGACTGAAATTAAATTCTAACCATTTAAATCGTGTGCTGAGTATTTCATTCTCCAAGATAAACACCCGTTTCTTCTTTACACTCTCCTGCAGCACAGTATTAATTTAACTTATTTGGGGTTTATACACTAAACAGCAGGTTGTAGTGAGCACTCTTCCACTCCTTTGACATTGGCTCACATTAGGACTTCCCCCATAGGAAAGCCTTGTATAATGCCTTCCAATGTTGTTTGGGGTAACGCTGGATGTCCTCGTGCAAAGTGTGAGGACTTGTAGCGTCAGTTAGGTGACCAAAAGTCCCTTAACTACCCAGAAGTCCCTCTAGTGGGTATCTGGTAGATAGCCACTAGACGTGGGGTTAACCCTTGAAGGCAATTTTTGCAGTTTCTCACAAACTGTAATAATTACAATTGCAGGGTTAAGTGACCTGGAACACTGCACCCAGACAACTTCAATGAGCTGAAGTGGTCTGGGAGCCTATAATGTCCCTTTAAAACCAACCAATGTAGGCATCATGTTACAAGTGTCAAAAAACATATTGACAGCTTAGTCAATATTCTGGCATATATTCATCATTAACACACAATAGATCTTACTTGATTAAAGGATGTTTTGTGAAATCTGGGTCACAGGCTCCGGTTATGTAACTAGACCAAGGGCACATCTGGAATTTAAAAAAAAGGAATATGACTGATAGCTCACAATTTAAATCAAATGTTATCAGAAATATTTATCCAAATTGGCTGGGTAGGTCAACATAACGAACAGGCCATTTTGGGACCAATTTTTTTAATTTCTTCCATCATTAAATTCTGGCAATTTTTAGCACATACCTCAAAATGCATGTTCATATCCAGTAAGTGTTTATAGAGCACTGGGTCCTGCAGGGTGTGATATCCATGTCCTATTCTCTCGGCCTTTAAGAGTTCCACCGCCTTTAAGAGTTAAAACACAGAAACATTGCGCAATGATTTACTTAAAATAGCTGTCAGTGTCATTTACTAAACTCTGAAATCTAGCAAATTAAAGCCTCGATTTAATATTTTGTATAAGCTTTTCAAATCATTTCAGATTTTAGAATAAGCTTTTAAAATGATTTCTAAGAATATTAAAATATTAAAAAAATATAGCATATACAAATATCAATATATCAAAACATATTGCAGTGTTAAAATTATTTTCAAAATATTAAATAATTTGTAAAGCTTATCTAACAATATTAAATCAAGTTGTAAATTTACATGGCAAACTGTAGTAAATATGGTGCCAGGAGTACCCTGGTGTCTCCCAGTGGAAATAGATACTTCCAGAAGAGAGATGTAAGATCTCTGTCTGAACGAAGACATGCAGTGCATGGTGTAGGCATTGGCTGAGAGCGATCAAAGCTTCCAGGCCCAGAGGAGGCGGGCTAAAAGCTAGCCGGATAGGAGGCATGTGTGGGTGTGGTAGGTGTAGGTGTCACATGTGGGGGGGTGTCACTTAGGTTAGGGGTGGGGTGGGGTCATATAAAAGGGCAGTCATTTTGTCCCTTACCTCAGCCATCTTAGAATAACGGCTGGTAACATCTTCCCTCCCGCCCACCCTTGCTTGTGATTGTTGCGTATTGTATATCGTTAACTTTCTTTCTTGTCACAGCTGGCGGGTATGGTCCTTGCCAAACCAGTTGGAAAACGAGTACACCGGAAGAAGGAATGCTGGGTCTGGTCCCTCCCCTAACCTCGGAGAGTTTGTGGTAGTTGGGCGTGCCCCCCGTGCCAGTAAAAGGCGGCCAGGGGTTGGCATGGGGTATTGGAAGGCCAAGTTAAAAGGCCAGTTATCTTGGACGAGGGGGGAGGGCAGTTACCCTGGTTGGGGGTACTCTGGGAGTTATTATGGTTTGGTTGGCAAGGACAATATTTTCCGATAAAATATTGGCTGATTGATTTATGTTTATTATTATAAATAAAGCTGTGGCCTGTTTATACCACATTTATGTCTCTTGGTTTTAATTGGGGGGAAAATTGGGATAACGTAATTTTGATTGCTTTAGTTCGCACCGCACAATAACCACTACCTACACACAAGCTCTCCGTCTGCATGAATGGAGAGGTTCTAAAACTAACTACTTACAATGGGGTATCCAGCACACTCCTGGCACCATAACCACTACAGTGTGCTACTGTGCTGTACTTCGTTTGCTGCTCGGAGTGTACCTTTAACAAACTATAGAACTGTGTGGCATTATGTGCAGGGCAAGGGTTTCTGGGAGTCCAGTTTCAACTGCCAGTGTTCTACTATAGAAAGAAAACAGCTGAACTATAACTCCCAGAAACCTAAGCCAAGACATCTTGGTTGGCAGTATTTCTAGCAAATAAATGGGGAACAGTGCAGCCTAGAAGTTAAGGAAACACAAGCTTTGGTGACAAAATAATTATTTAAAAAAAAAAAAAGAAAAAAAACTGACTGTCAATACAAATGTATTAAAAATATATTTAAAATAATATTTTGTATATTGTTTAACATTTAAACTATACTCAGTCAAATCCATTTATAAATGTCATTGATGTATTTGCAGGAAATTCTCTATAATAATGTATTCATGTTTACGTTTCCTAGAACAGCTAGCCCTCCTGATATTGTCAGACTACCAATCCCACGATTCTTTGCCAGCCTAGAGGCAGTTAGAGCATAATGAGAGTTGCAGTTAAACAACAGTTGTGGTTAAAAGGTATTGATGAAATAAGGAGTTGGCAACCTTTGGCACTCCAGATGTTGTGAATTACATCTCCCCTGATGCATTGCCAGCATTACAAGAGCATTATGGGAGATGCAGTTCAGAATATATGAAGCGCTGGAGGTTGTCTACCCATGGATTAGATTGTCAGCTTCACTAGCTACCGTATGCCATTCTTATAGCAGGAATAGTACATTCTCTAGGTTTGTCACCAAACCAATCATCATGAATTGACCCGTTAATTTAAAATTTCAGGCCATAATATTCAATCTGCAAGTTTATTTCCTATTTATCTATTTTGGCATGCAAGTTCATCCTCCCTAATTACGGTAAGTCCCATCAATTCCACTGCGCTCTGTGTGTGATTGCTTCCCCCTGGTTTCAATTGACTGATACACCTGTGTCTAAGCTGTGACTCCCAGGTAGTTTGTGTGCGCTCAGCTTGTTTAGCTATGTATAGCGATTTAATATTCTGTTTCACAATAGAGAAGTACTTCCCTACTAGTATCATTTTAAGTAAAACATAGCATTTAATATATTGATTAAAAGTATTACTGTTGGTAAATCAACAGGTGAACCAGAAAATATTATTGATAATAAGACTATCAATAGTATAAAGCAAAAAATATATAACGAAAAACGTGTACCAAATTATATCAAAACCATATAAGATGATAGATGATTTTTAAGTGGAAAAATATATGTAGTTTAGCTAGTTTTTTTTTTCTTTATTCTATATTTAGAGTAGTTCTTGTCCATGGTTAAAGTTTCTTTGACATGATACCCTCGCCAGTTAATTATCGCAAGGTCACCTGGTATAATTAAACCCTTGCCAATTGCTATTACTGACACGAACTGGCACTAACCTTCTGTGTCCTGTTTTTAAATGTGTTGCTTGGCTAAATTTAAAGTGAAATGCCACCTTTCCAAAATAGAAAGTGCTTCCTATTTAGCTATACCTCTGCTTTAAACGGGCTATTTCAACATATTTTTACTTTCTCCATCGGTGACAGGGCTGCAGCGGTGACCAATTTAGCACCGCCCATGAGCACATTGATATAAAGACTAAAAAAGGTTGAATGCGGTTCTTAAAATATATATATTTCTTTTGTTTTCGTTTTATTTTTATTTATTTTTGTGTTTGTCTGTGTAAGCACTAAAATTGTGATTCCCACGTGAAAGTTGTCCATTTGGCTTGAAGTGTGCATATTTGAGTGTTAAGCATTCAAGCAAATGTGCTCTGGAATTTTTTTTTATTTTTTTTTCTAACACTGAAGTGAGCTTTGGCCCAAATAAGGTTTGGGACCTCTGTTTTAGACCAGAACGCCTCACGGTCTCCTGTGCTGGCAGAAACAGTCTGTCTCGTGTGCAGTGACTTAACATTATTGGTGTTGGCTCAGGGGGGAAATTAAGTGAGATAAAGTTACATAAGTGATCTTTATTTAGCTTTGACCCCAAAAGAAATAACTGCTGTCTAAATCCACAAAATATGGGGTAGATAAACATACAGTGGATATAGTTTCAGACAGACACACATGTATAAATGCGTATTAAACTTAAATGTAAATTTTAAAGGGATACTATAGTCACCAAAACAACTTTAGCAGTTTTGGAGTGTAGATCATACCCCTGCAGTCTCACTGCTCAATTCTCTGCCATTTAGGCGTTAAATCATTTTGTTTATGCAGCCCTAGTCACACCTCCCTACATGTGACTTACACAGCCTTTCTAAACACTTCCTGTAAAGTGACATCTAATGTTTACACTTCCTTTATTGCATGTACTTTTTAATTCAGAATGTCTTACCTACTGCACTGTTAATAGCCTGCTAGACTCTGCAGGACCATCCTGTGTGTGATTAAAGTTTAATTTACAGAGCAGGAGATTAAAACTTTAAAATTAAATTAACATCTGATTAAAAAGGAAACCTTTTTTTTTCCCATGCAGGTTGTCAGTCACACCCAGGGGAGGTGTGGCTAGTACTGCAAAAACAGAAACTAGAGTGATTTAAAAAAAGGAAAAAAGAATATGCCAAAATCTTCTCACATAAGTGAGGAGAGGGCTCCCTAGATATATACCTGTATCTAAAGTAATGGTGTGATCTCTGTGGTGGAGACAATTGTAACAAAAAATTTACTTATAAGTAAAATAGCTATATACATAAATTCCTTAGCCCTGTAAGGCTATTCCTATATTAGATGAGACAGGTCTACCACACCGTATACATGACACTTAATTGTCAGTAAAAAATAGGGCCAGTGTAAGGTAGATTCTGTATGTATATTAGTCAGATTTGAGCAAAGATCATTACATTATGTGTATCAAAATAATATACAAAGTAATCATGCCAATAGTATCAATAATATTAGCATGTGTTACTTCTGATGTTGTGATGGTAATTGCAGGATCGTACCAATATCTGTTGAAAGATATCTCTCAAGTGCTGTGCTTGATACAGAGTCAAAGGGTGTGTTAACTCAGCATGGATGGTCTTCGCATAGACTGGTAAGAAGGGGATATAGGGAGGAAAATTGTAGTAAGCCTCTCTCCCTTTAAATCTGACTAGATAGAAAAATGGGAAATAAAGAGGAAGAAATGATTGCAACAGAAACTTACATTTTTTATTATGTTGGATATTATTTTGATACACATACCATGATAATCTTTGCTCAAATCTGACTAATATACATACCGAATCTACCTTACTCTGGACCTACTTTGAGCAGTTAAGAATAAAACAAAACACAACAAAGAGAATATGAGAACATGCAACAGCTTAGAAAAACCCTAAGAATGTCTTTTGGCTAGTCCCCACTCAGGTCTCAAAAAGTATTTTTTCTCTCTTGTGCCATTGAAAAGCGAACCTATACCATTTGCATATCAGAATGATACCACCCATTAGGGCAGTTCAGAACCCAAATGCCAGCAAGTCCTCTCTGCACATGAGATACGGCAACCCGGAATGATCATTTCGGCCTACATTGGGCCTCGACAGCGTGGTGTAGCTGATACCCCTCAAGGCAGTGTCCATGTCTGGATTAACATATTAGCTTAGGGAGAGCCTTAGCAAATGATTTGCAACAAAAACAGAGAATATCAGAGTGGAAAATCTGAGGGCAAAAGCTTAGAGAAAGTCAGTAGATTGCCCTTCAGTTAGTCCCCGCTCAGGTCTGCTTTGAGCAGTTACCTGATTCTGTGAATGCTACAAATCAGCATGTCAGAGTGCTACAAGTCCAGTTAAACCTCATGGATCTGGCAACCCCAGCTCACCCAGGGAAAAGAAAAGCAGAGAGACAGGGGCGGTTTTGAGTCCTAACTAGCACACAATGTACTCTCCAGAACAGTAAATAAGAGCTTTTTATTGCAGTTATTAATCAAGTCCATTAATGTATTAAAACAAACAAAATTGATAAAGCTAAATTCTTTAGAAAACCAGTGATAACATGGTGGACTTTGCCTTGAAATTAGAAATTCTAAATAACACTATGGACATATAAAAAAATAATAAAACAACGGATCAAAGTGAATTTCAAATTTAAAGGGACAGCACAGGCACCCAGACCTATTCATCTCATTGAAGTGGTCTGGGTGCAGTGCCCCTACCTGTTTAACAGATGCAGACAGCCACTAGAGGTGCTTTCAAGTCCCTTAAGAAGGTTTGCTCCATTAAACGACATTAGATATCCCCACACTTTGCATGAGGACAGCTAACATCTTCTGTGTCCCCCGTAGGAATGCACCGATTTAATGCTTACTTATGGGAAAGCTTTAATGAGCATGTGGCACTTCCCTTACATACACATTAGGTCCCATTATTGACATGACATTGGAGGAAGAGACCTAGCCAGAGCCCAGGGAGCTTTTTTCTAACACTATAGTGTTCCTTTAAAGGACCACTCTAGGCACCCAGACCACTTCAGCTTAATGAAGTGGTCTGGGTGCCTGGTCCAGCTAGGGTTAACCCATTTTTTCATAAACATAGCAGTTTCAGAGAAACTGCTATGTTTATGAATGGGTTAAGCCTTCCCCTATTTCCTCTAGTGGCTGTCTCATTGACAGCCACTAGGGCGCTTATGCTTCTCACTGTGATTTTCACAGTGAGAGCATCGCGTCCATAGGAAAGCATTATGAATGCTTTCCAGTGACGTTGAATGCGCCAGCGCCTTGCCGCTGCGGCGCATTCAGACGGGGAGGAGAGAAGGAGGATCGGAGGAGGAGAACTCCCCGCCCAGCGCTGGAAAAAGGTAAGTTTTAACCCCTTTCCCCCTTCCAGAGCCGGGCGGGAGGGAGACCCTGAGGGTGGGGGCACCCTCAGGGCACTATAGTGCCAGGAAAACGAGTGTGTTTTCCTGGCACTATAGTGGTCCTTTAAGGATAAAGGAGCTGAACTGGAAGCATAGCTAAGAATTTTCCTAGTTCTACCATTTTCTAGATTGGATTAGACGTATTAGTCCAGTAGGCAAGATGCCAAAATATGCGATACTCTAGCATATTGGCATTGTTTTCCTATTTTTTGCTATTTAGTTGAAACTGTTTGTTGTTTTGTTTGCATGTTTTTATATTTTTTTCCAATGACACAGAGTTAAAGCTTAAATAATGTCACATGAATAAAACAGAATCATTTGCTTCTGTAATGTAAGCATTATGTGGTATATTCATTTAACATCCATTTGTAGTAAACTGAAAATTGAATTACATAAAAAGGTGAAGTAGCCAATCCACGTGACTATAGCGGAGTTGCATAATCTTGCAGTCTGGTTTATAGTAAATAAACCCCTCCTTTCTAGCGACACCATTTAATTCTTAAAGGGCCGGTACACTTTAGAATCTCACCTCTTTGACCACCGACGGTGGCCCCGCCTCTCCAGCATGCACCGTTCGGTGGACTCCACACCTCGCTGCTTCCTGTGCCAATGCAAAAGAGAATGTTGCTCATGAGAATATGAATGTGACATATTACGTATAATGTACATGGGTATCAAGAACATTAAAAGTTTCACTTATTTAAAAAAAAAAAAGAAAGTTCCTGGTTGAAATTTAAAATGTAATGGGCATTCCCTTAGATGTAGACAGTGATGCAGAAAATATCATAGGATACCATGTAACAGCCACAAAATTTATAGAGGAATTTAAAGGGAAACTGTCACTTCAACGGATTTCATCTGGAGACTTTGCATAATTTGCTAAATAACGCGTGATATAGTCTCAGTGTAGCATTTATGTGATTATTCATTAGAGGAAAACTCCAAGCACCATAACAACTTAATTGAAATTAAATTATTATGGTGCTCAAAGGCCCCTGGCACTTTGTAACCTGTACGTAGCTTTATTTATGAATGGGGAGCTGCTGATCATCTTAGAGTACGAACTGACCACCCTACCCAGCAACACTTGCTTTCTGAAACTGCATTGAAGAAACCAGATGCCAATAGGGACAGAGAGATCCGGTGCTGGACAGCAATCTTTGGGGTTAGACCATTCAAGAACAGTTTAACCCTGCGAGGTAAGAAAGCGCCAGGGAACTCTGGGCACCATAACAACTTTTTCGGTTAAGTTATTATGGCGCCCATACAGTTCTTTTAAACCGTGAATTATAGTTGGTTGAAGTCCAAACTGCTAAATTTAGTCCAAAACAGTTGATTTTTTAAAATTCTGCCTCTTGGTTATGATCACAGCTTCACTGTTTTAACCTCCATTCTATTTATATTATGGCATTTGGTTTTCAATAAAACATCATTTGTTGTTTTGTAACTAAACCCTTCAATCTTTTAATAAGGTCATATGCCATAATTATTTCAGAAAAATACAAAGGAGACTATTTTATTATACAAAAAAAAAATGTATTTTTTGCACATTATAGCTCAAGCATTATCCGGACCATAGTAAATAACCCAGAAAGTGTCTAATCAATCCCACCAACACTATCTTACAATAATGTGTGATAAATAATTGGGCAAGTTCTGCTTAAGCCTCTGTCCGAGCATCAACACACAAAAATATTTTTTGTCGAGTCAAAGGGGAATGTCAGGGAAAGACAACTAGAGTTTTATAGAACTCACAGTCGTGATGCAAAGTTCTAATTTCAGAGCAGTCACCATGGAAACCAGTGGAAAACTCCTGCTGATTGCTCCACTTCTGGAACCCTGAACCACACAGGCTCCTAATATAAAACATATAGCAGTGATGGCGAACCTTTTTGAGCCTGAGTGCCCAAACCGTAATACATGCCAATTTTTTTTTTCCTCAAAGTGCCAAAATGGCAATTAAACCTGAATATTGAGGTTTAAGTTTAGAAAAAACAACTCATACAGTTGTCCGAACTAATTAACATCTGTGTGTGTATTAAGCAGTTTGTGTGTGTGCTCGGCAGTCTGTCTGTATGTGTATTTAGCAGACTGCTGAATACACACAGACTGCTGAGTACACAGTCTGCTAAATACACACACACACACAGAATGCTAAATACACACACACACACACACACACACACACAGACAGACTGCTGAGTGTACACACACACACAGACAGACTGCTGAGTGTACACACACACAGACTGCTAAATACACACACTGCATTGAGGGGTACAGTGTATGTGTTTGTGTGTGGGGTGATATGTGTGGGGTGATGTTTGTGTGGGTGATATGTGTAGGGCAGGAGTGCTGTGTGTATGTCGTCCCCCCTCTCCCCCCTACTGCTTTTCTTTCCCCATCCCTCCCTCAAGTTCTCCTCTATATCTCCCTGCTCTACTCCCCTCAGTCCTCTCTATCTCCTCAGTCCTCTATCTTCTCAGTCTCCTCTATCTCCCTCAGGTTCCTCTTCCTCTCTATCTTCCTCAGGTTCTCTTTCCTCTCTATCTCTCCCTGTGTTCCCTCTATCTTCCCTTGTGCTCCCTTCTATCTTCTCAGGTTCCTTCTCTATCTTCTCAGGTTGTTCCCTTTCCCTATCTCTCTCCTCAGGTTCTTTTCCCCATTCTCCTCTCTGTGGTTGTCCTCTTCTTCTCATCTCCTCATAGGTTGTCTCTTCCCTCATTCTCCTCTCTCCTCAGGTTCTTCTATCTCGTTGTCTTTCCTCTATCATCTTTGTGTTGTTCCTTCCTCATTTCCTTGTGTTGTCTCTCTCTATCTCAGGTGTTCTCTTCTCTACGCGCTATGTTCTCTCTACCTCAGGTTCTCTACCTTTGTGTCTCTATCTTTGTGGTTGTCTCTTCTCTTATCTTCTCAGGTGTGTGTCTTTGAGTTTTGGCTTTGTAAGGCAGCGAAGCGCATTGCGGAAGCAGTTTCTGTACTGTGACAGGTGTTTTGCGGAAGTACTTTTACTTTCACCGCCGGTATGTGGAAATATAAGTTTTGCCGCGGCGCGCTCGTTACATAGAGTGCCTGGCAGGAGGGAGCGCTATGCGCTATGCGCTCACCTCCTGCCGGTCACTCCGGCTTTGCGCCCGCCGGGCCGGTGCGCCCTAAGGCGGCCACTTGTGCCGCCTTATGGATGCGCTGGCGGAGCGCACCCTCCCTTCCTCCGACGACCTATGGCGTGCCATAGGATCGCCATCACTGACATATAGTGTTCTTTTTGTTTTCAAAAATAGAATAAAGGGCCGGTGATTAATACAGACCTCAAAAGCCCACATATGTTCAGGACTTGTTTCACTCTTCAAACGTTCGTCACCTGCCAGATCAATCGCTACAACAGTGTTATTGTGATACTTTTTGCAGAGCTCTGCGATCTCCGGTGACCAACCTGTTGGAAATACACTAAACAGCTCAAAGAATATCACCCTGGCTTAAGATCATCACAATAACACAAATCATATAAAATAGATATATAGAATTTCTTTAACAGAGACACGTATAATTTTAAGGATTTAACCTGCATTTACTTTAAGTAAACCTTTGGTTTATTTTACATAGTATGCGCATAGAATGTCTCAAAAAAAAAAAAATTGCTACATGGCAAATTGACTGACTAAACTCTTCACTTTCAGAATTTAAGAAAAGCACATTTTGTAATCATAATTAGCCTCAAACTGAAACACCTATTAATGGGGCACTCTCGCATCATCACTAGCGTTCTGTAGTGGTTATAGTGCCAGAAGCCCTGAGTACCATCTGATGGTATTCTGCCAAACCATTTAAAAACGGGCTCTAATCTTGCTGTGTCAGGCCTCCTTGGTAATTCCATTCTGAGTTGTTTTGATAAAGTGGAATACTTTGAATACTGCATTTCATTCCAACCCATACCTGGTTTACACAGTATTCACTAGCTGACAGCTGTCACCTGACATTCTCAGCCAGTGTACACTGCCTTAAATTAGTATGGGTTGGTATGATAATGTGGTAGTACCCAACACACCAAGAGTAGAGTTAATCTGTTAACAGTTTGACAGATTACTGATAAACAACATTTAAAGACTTCTGGTACCATAACCACTAAAGCACTGATCTGACTCTGTATTATCCCCTGGATTGGTGCTGAAAGAGTTTAGAAATTGCTCAAAGACAAATATTTTCCTGAATAAATAATTTTCAGTGCATAAATTAATAAATAGACCAGGAGTCCTCTTTAATTCCTTATAAATGGCAAATTGAACTCTTAAAATCCATACTGCTAAATTTAGGGCCACTTTTGAAAAATATCACCTTTTTTATTAATATTTTTAATTATTTATTAATTTTAAATGATGAGGTTCCTGTACTTTTGTTGCTAATTTGAAATTGCTCCATTTCATATCTGCACATTCATGGCTTTTATCCATAAGAACCCAGAAAATTGGTTTTAACAAATGCCCAGATTGCAATATTGGGGAATAAAATGAAGGGATTTAATCTCTAATTGTTCCATTGAGAGTTTAGCAGACGTATGCAGAGATGGACAACCCAAACATTATTTGTAAGAGCTACAAATGTAATAGTAAATGTTACTTGGCATGTGACGCAGGCAGCAAAGGATTGACTTGACCTTAATGTTGAAGTCTCTTTCTCCTTCCTTCAGTCCTTCGTTGACCAATTTAACCACTTCCTCTGGGGTAAGGTCTCCTCTGTGGGAGATACACACAGCACAAATTGAGATTTTGTAAAATTTTCACAGCTGGCGTAAACCGGTTATAGTTTATCAAAACCAAAACTTGGTAATGTTTGTATGTGCTAATGGTACATAAGCAGATTTTTTTTGGTGAATGGTCAATGATGTGCTATGCATTTGTTAGTAAATTGACTAGCAAAGTGTGTAGACGAAAGGTAGAGCTCTTGTACTGGTGTGACATAGACCTCCATAGGACAGGACTATATAGATAGTCCGTGAAAACTATGCCAAATATTTCCACACGGAATACTGGGTTCTTTAAGCCTTCACAGCATTACCTGAGGAGAAAGGAGGCAATTTGTGGGCTCTCTCGTTTAACAACCACCGAGGCCTTACCTCTTGTGTTGCTCCGACATTGGTACAATGGATTATACATGGTGGGCTTTTTAATTTTATACATTTTTCTTTTGTTTTCATGTGCGTGTAATTAATTTTTTTTTTTTTTTTTAAATTGTTTTAATGCTAAACAAAAGTCCCAATGGTCCATCCCTTCAGTGCTTCTTAGGCTAGTAAGGATGCATTAGCCTGAGCAGCAATGGATGACTGTGATTGGTTTAGAGTGTCAGCTGACCGCTTTCAACCTATCACAGCGCCCATTGCTGGTATGAACTAGTATGACTACAAAGAAGTGTGTAATATCAAGAACTGGACTGTGGGTGGCCATGGACCCTTATTGAGTGTTAAAATGCTCAAAAATTGTTTCACATTGAATGAGGGGCAGTGCCGGGGACTCCAGGCACTATAATTCAATGAGACAATATGGTTCTAGTGCCCACTGTTACTTTAAACTTTATTTTATTTTATTTAAATGTTTACACAAACTTACTCTTTCTGTCCCCATGGGATTGGATCCACTTTAAAGTTGGCAAAGAGGTGAGGATTGTATCTGACCTCTACATAAATAACTCCTTCGTTGGCTTTCGTCTCCACAAACTCATAGGCGATCCTTTTTACTGCCTCACGATCACCACTGAAGGATTTAAAAAAAAATAAAAAAAATTATCAGTGTTTTGATTAAATGGACATAGATTGCAGACAATAAAAATTTTAAATAAAGATACCCAGCAATACATTTAGGGGGTTTATTCAGCCATCAAAGTGAAAGAGTAACATTTCGACATATATGTGCCTTTCTCAAGTCTAGATTGCAGATATACACTTTGTAAAAGTTATCGGAGTCTGTGTGTTTTTCTATGAAATAGATGGTTGCCTAAGGAGTCGTTGCTTTGCCAAGGTGTAGAAATGGGTAAAACACCCATTGAGGAAAAGCCTTGCCTCCCTCCCCCTACACTTATTTTCCATCCTCACTCACAAAGTCTCTAAAATAATTTCTACGTCCTTTAGGGATCCGATGCACCTACCATCTTTCCGCTGTAGGATGCCTGGGATGAAAACTCATCTTATCAGGTAACCTTGGGGTGCATAGAATCCTGACAGCTATTTGAGAATATGGATTGCAAGTTAAGAGGATATTCTATGACTTTATCCACCTGTGATCCTACATGGTCCCTTTACCTGGCATATCAGGTGAGCTCATGGAACCCTCTATCCCGTCTGGTTATGATGACTTCACATGAAGGACGTTAATGTGGGACAGATTAATATATGTGGTGGGAACAGACCGATAAATGGACTAACACGTGGTAAGCACTGTTGTGATTTGGGAATAAAAGCAGTGTTTAATTCCAATGGGCAAACATTCTGAAAAGAGAACATTCCATTATCTAGTCCAATGACTGTGGAGATTATCATCAACTGTTGTCGGTTTGAGATGTTAATCTGACCCAACGGGATCTCCCACTATCAAAAACTCACTCCCATTTACAAAATCTGGGGTCCTCTTCTTTTTTTATGGTGTGCAAGCCAAACTTTCTTTCTATAAATTTGCACGCCAACTGATTTTCTTCCAATATTCTGCATTCGGAGATGTTTTACAAATACAGTGATTTGAAAGGAACACAGCTGCCTCTATGCTATACAAATATTTACTTACGCAACAGCCGGCATGTAAATGTTGAATTTGGATAGAAATTCTGTGAGGTTTCCAGGGGTTTTGCAAACAACTTTCTCCAGAAGACCGTCCATACACTCTCCACCTGGTATCTCCATCTGTTTCTTTCTAGGGAAACAACGATGATGATCTCTTGGTTATAATTGTACTGGATATTGTTATAACTGCATTATTGGAAAACTTTAGACACCAACACATTGGTTGGGTGCAATGCGTATATTACGTTGCAGTTAGTTGGTTACTTGGTTGTTTCTTTTTTACTTTTTTTTATTTTTTATTTCTATGAATCTTCTTCAACCTTCTTTAACGTGTTCTTGCTCGAGTAACCCATAGCACACTATGCAAGTTAATAACATTATTACTGAAAAGCAAGAAAAATATATATTCTCCAGTTATGGCAAAAATTATACGTTCATTCAAGATATAGCAGTATTCCTTAAATACGTTAAAGGGACTCTACAGTCACCAAAACAACTTTAGCTTTATGAAGCAGTTTCAGTGTATAGATCATGCCTCTGCAGTCTCCATGCACAATCCTCTGCCATTTAGTTACATAGTTACATAGCTGAAAAGAGACTTGCGTCCATCAAGTTCAGCCTTCATCACATTTGTTTTTAATTTAGGAGTGAAATCACTTTTGTTTATACAGTCCTAGTCCCACCTACCTGCATGTGACTTACACAGCCTTCCTAAACACTTACTGTAAAGAGTCATCTAATGTTTACACTTCCTTTATTGCAAATTCTGTTTAATTTAGACTTTCTAATCACCTGCACTGTTAATAGCTTAATAGACTCCTGTTTGTAGTTAAAGTTAAATTTACAGAGCAGGAGATTAAAACTTTAAAAGTGAGTTACATCTGATTGAAAATGAAACCATTTTATTTTCATGCAGGCTGTGTCAGTCACAGACAGGGGAGGTGTGGCTAGGGCTGCATAAACAGATATAACATTTATTTCACTCTAAAATGCCAGAGAATTAAGCTGTGAGACTGCAGAGGGTTGATCTATACACAAAAATTCTGCTTAAGTTGTTTTGGTGACTTTAATGTCTCTTTAATGGCTTTATTTTTATATTGCACTATAAGGAGAGAGCGAGAAGAAATTAGTAAAACAAGTATTCTACATTGAGGATAAAATAGTTGAAGGCACTTGACATAAAGATAAGTACAAATAAGCATGACTTGTAGTTGGTGGTTAGAACGTTTGGAAATGACAGGAAGTGCTAATTTACAAAAAGTATAGTAGATTCCTGGGTTGGCCTTTAAATGGATACAGAAAAAGATAACGCAGTTACCTTGTGTTGGTAATAAGCCACCGCTTTTTTTGGCCCACATTTTCACCAATTTAGTTTTCTGGTTATTGTGATTTGTAAGTTGTATTTTTTTTTCTCTATATGAAAATCCATATGAGCTCCGAGGTGGTTATCTCTGATACTTAAAGGGACATTCTAAGCAACAGTCTCACTACAACTTTGGGTAGAGCCTATAATATAAATAACATGCTGCTGAGTATACAGTCCAAGACAAATAACTTACTTGGCAAAATACAAGATAGTTTCTGGTCTTATGGTCGCATCCAAGTGAACATGCAATTCCACCTGCAGGAACAAAGTTATAAACCGTTTCAGAGTTAGAGTGATTGGGGGGAATTTACTTAAACCAGTTCAATGGCAAAACAAAAACATTTAGCCTTCCATTCAGAAAACTTGTGGTTGCTGGAGGTTACAACCGAAACGTCTGTTGCTATTATGCACTGAGATGTAGATGTCCTTTACAGCAGTGTTCTCCAACCCAGTCCTCATGGACCACCAACACTCCAGGTTTTATCAGTATCTCCATTGGAATAAAACAGGGAAATACATAAATCCTGGACTGTTGGTGGTCCACGAGGACTGGGTTGGAGAACACTGCTTTACGGGATATTTCTCTGCTGATATAATACCCATTTAATGCTTTACAGAATAAATAACGGTACAGGCACTCCGGGATAACAAAAATTGCACCATTATCGGGGCAAAAGCAGCAACGTGTTGGGTTTTTATCAAGCTTCCCCAATAAAGCTGCTATTTTTGTTATCCTGGAGTGTCTGAACCGTTATTTATTCTGCATATCTTGGAAAGGAGTCCTGGTCGTCCTGGCTTCAGAGCACCTGGGTTATTTGGTGAGTGTGTTATCCCGTACGTCTACTATTTAATACTATGGGCTTCTATTTCTAAAGATGATCCAATATAAATTGAGAACATTATCTAACATCCAGTGCTCTAGCCCAGGGATGTGTCTACCGCGAGGCAAACAAGGCATTTGCCTTGGGTGGCAAAAATCGGCACCCCCAAATGCCTAGGCAAATACCTTGTTTTCCTCGTTTTATGGGAGTCCAAGAGCTAGCTGGCTGGCCACCTTTGGACTCCCCCGGGCGGGCGGCGAGGGAGCACTTTCCCCGGAGTTCTCTGCTCCTTTGTGCGACCCGCGGTAATGCCAGGAGCCGCCATATTCGTCATATTCCGGCTCCCGGAATCACTCTGCAGCTCCCTCGCCACCTGCCCGACCACCTGCATGTCCGGCCACCTCCCTGCCCAGCAGCCCCACTGGACCCCAGGTGAAAAATCCACCCAGCTATCCCAAAAGTAGGGAGGCTGAGTGGATTTCAATTTAAATGAAAAAATATATAATAATTGTGAGTGGGGGAAGTGTGTGTGTGTGTCAGTGAATGTGTGTGTGTGTGTCGGTCAGTGTGTGTCCGCGTAATAGTGTATGTCTGTCTATCAGTGTGTCAAATCAATGAGTGTGTGTATGTCATTGTTTGTCAGTGTATATGAGTGTGTGTGTCTGTCAATGAGTGTATGCATCTATCAGTGAGTGTGTGCGTCTGTCAGTGAGTGAGCGTCTGTCAGTCAAAGTGCGGCCTTGACAGGAAGGGGTAGGGAAAATTTAAATTGGGGGGGTGCCTAAGCACCGTCCCGCCTAGGGCAGCACAAATCCTAAATACACCACTGCTCTAGCACTAAATTCTTCTCACACCTCTTTATCAGTAACTTGAATTTTGAAAGACTTCAGTCATTAATCACTTTTAACCAGGAAGGTGGATTACATTCTGACAGTGCCAATGGCCAGGAAAAGCTTCATGTGTGTAGGTAGTGGTTATTGTGTGGTGCGACCCATTATACTCACCAACCCGCTCCCCCAATTAAGACCAAAAAACATAATTGTGGTATAAACAGGCCACAGCTTTATTTATAAATTAACAAGCATATATATAAACCAACCATTACTATCCTTAATAGATATGAGCATGATATAACTCAAACTCGTCCTTGCCAACCGGACCATAACCCCTCTAGAGTACCCCTTCCCCCCTCATCCAAGATACCTGGCCTTCACCTTTTCCTTCCAATTCCACATGCCAACCCCTGGCCGCCTTTCCTGGCACGGAGGGCACGCCCAAATACCCAAACATTTCCAGAGTTTAGGGGAGGGACCAGACCCAGCATTCCTTCTTCCACTGTACTCCTTTTCCCAACTGGTTCAGCAAGGACCATACCCGCCACTAGCACCTGCTGTATTTAAGCCTAAATCAGCGTGCTTGACCCCCCCAACCAACGCCATGGCCTGCTCCGGTGCATCCTGCAGCGCTAAGTTAAATAAGTCCAACCCCACATCGGTCAGATGGACCCCGTCCGGGCGAAAATAGTTCGCTGCCTCCCGTTCGGAGATACGGTGCCGCACTGTCAAACCCCCGACACTGAGCACAAATTTGGACACCCTCTTATTAATATTTACCCTGCAGTGCTCAATAGCCCCCTGATCACGTGCGCACCTCCAATAGTTCCTGGACACTATGCCCGACCAAACTAAGCAAAGCTGCGGGAACAGAACACGCAAGCGCGCTAAATCCCGCCTAATCAGTTCCCCCAGGCACCAAGCAGGCAGCGCCCCCAGATCATTTCCCCCCAGATGCACCACTAACACATCCACTAACGGGGCCCCTAGCAAAGTAGACAACTGCACAACCTCCGACAACAGCTGGCCCCATCTCATGCCCTGGAACCCGAACCATCGGACCTCCGCCAGTTCTTGAGGTATTCCAAGCCACGTCCCACCCGGGCGTACCCTTCCCCTCAGGTGGGCCCAGTAGATATAGGAATGCCTGATCAGCCAGATCCGTTGGCCAGGCCCTGTGGAGAAAACCGATCAGACGCGTAGGGCGTACATAAGCCCAAAACCTCCCAGATTCCCACCTACCAATCCTCTGAATGACCTGATCAGAGAAAACTAGACAAGAGGCTTCCGTTGCTGCCCCAATCCGGAAGGAGTGACCCCCAAAGCCGCTCAAGCACCAACCGAAAGACCCGGAGAAATTGGTAGCGAGATAGGTAGGTACCATCCCCATGAATCAACAGCGGGCCCGCGACACCCGGACGTCCAGAACAGTAGAATTGAAAGGACGAGACTGGGCAAACCGCCGATCCAGGGATGGCGCATATGGTAACCCATACCCCTTTGCCAAAAATGTCAGTTTTGGACCGCCGCACCAAGAAACGCACTGCACCACGGACACATCATTGAAAAACAAACCCCCTGGAGTCCGCCTGCTAGGGCTCACGAGTTCACCAATCTGGAGAGCCCCAAAAAAGGCAAAAGTAAACGCCACCAGGAACAATCGAGCTTCCAGAGTGGAAAAACAAACATGGGGTAAGACCGACACGATCCCCAGCAGCAGCGCACCTGAAACCGGCCTCCGCGAATCCCGCACTTACGGACCCCTACACCAACCGCGCATCTCAAGCCGAACCATGCAATCCTTAGTAACGTCTGGCACGTGAGTTAAGTTGAACCAGAAACTAAAACCCGATAGCCGGGGAACACCCGCTAGCCTCCCAGAACCAGAGCAAGCGCAAAAGACCCTGAACCCTTTCAGCGGCAGAGGTGTACCCACCATGATCCTGTTCCAGAGCGACCCAGTCCCCCCATGCCTTACCATACCGGACCCATGTCGCCTCTGACACCGAAGACCGTATCCATTCCCTTATTCGCTCAGGCCAAGGGACCATAGCTCTCTGGGACAGGAGAGGCCTTCCATATCTGCTCCCAGTGTGGCCGACCGAAACACCTGCCATTGAAAACGAGAGAGAGCGTCAGCCGTGGTATTCACAACACCCGGAATGTGCACAGCGCGGCATGTCACATTGAGAGACAAGCACCGTAATACGAGTCGCCGCAGAAGCCTGACCACCAGAGGGGAGGAGGCCGTTAAATTATTAATGGCCTGTACCACCCCCAAGTTGTCACAGTGGAACACGACCCGCCGGTCCTTGAGTTCCGGCCCCAAAAGATGAACCGCCACCACGATGGGGAAGAGCTCCAAGAACGCCATGTTCCTGGTCAGGCCTGATTCGAACCATGCTTCAGGCCAAGGTTCCGTGCACCATTGCTTCCCCAGGATAGCCCCAAATCCCGATGAACCCGCGGCATCCGTGAACAGATGCAGCACCGCCTTCGTTACCTCTGGCTGCTGCCAGTAGGACCTACCATTGTACCCATCAAGAAAAACCGCCCACACTGCCAAATCCTCCCTGAGTGCCTTGGTCAAGCGGATGAAATGGAACGGCTTTGATATTTCCAACGTGGCGGCCGCCATGCGCCGGTTCAACACTCTGTCCATAGGCATGATCCGACAGGCGAAGTTCAACTTGCCCAAGAGGGATTGAAGTCGTTGTAACGTAATCTTCCATAGGGAGCCCGCCTCCCGCACCGCCCCCCATAGATCAGTCAATTGGTCCACTGGGAGCCAACATTCCCCAATAACAGAATCCAGCTTGATTCTGAGAAAGCACAAACACGGGGAAGGGCCAACTGTTTTGTCGGGCACCAGCGGAACACCGAACCCACAGGCCACGTCCGCCACTGATTGCAAAATCTGCGCGCATATCGGGGAATGTGCGGGACCCACACACAGAAAATCGTCTAAGTAGTGAAGCAAGGAGTCGTAACCGGACTCCGCTCTCACCACCAATTCCATGAAGGAGCTAAAACATTCAAAATAACAGGATATCGCACATATCCACGTAATAATGCCCTTCAAATGCACAACCCAGGAGATGATGGGACTCCGGGTGAACCGGTAGGAGGCGAAAGGCCGACTCAATGTCGGTTTTTGCCATGAGTGCCCCGGGCCCGAGGCCCTGACCATGCCCACCGCCACATTGAACGAAGCGTATGAAACCTGGCATAGTTCCGCCGCGATATCATCATTTACCGAGCCCCCTTGAGGGTGCAATAGATGGTGAGCCGAAACTTCCCCGGTTCTCTCTTGGGCACGATGCCTAACGGTGAGACCCTGATGTCAGGGAGAGGCGGGTCCCGGAAAGGGCCAGCCATGCGGCCCAGCGCCTCTTCCTTTGCCAATTTTGCAACAAACTAGGATATAAAATCCTTTTTGACGCCAGAATGGCAGTCCGATATCTCCTTGAAACAATAAGCAAGTATTCATCCAGTTGCTCTTTAAACATCTTTACAGAGTCCAATAAAACCACTTCTTCAGGCAGAGAATTCAACATCCTTATTGTTCTTACTGTAAAAATGCACAACCGTGTGCCCCATGTACAGTCCTGTTTCACAATAGATTTCCAGACAATGGTTTGAATGAATGGGATGTCACATACCTGCAGTAATCTGCAAATATCCTTTCTGGTAACAGTAAAATATATTCTAAATAAAAATGATTCGGTCTGAGATACTTATATAACAGCAATCAGACCATTATTTATATCATCCTTTTATAATATACCATAGCGCTGTACATTCTTTTCCCATTGTTGTCTACAGCAACAGCTGTTAGATAATTATTATAATTTTGTAAAGCGCCAACAGATTCTGCAGCGCTGTACATTCTTTTCCCATTATTGTGGGCACCAAATGCTGTTAGATTATTATTTTTATATTTTATAAAACAACAAACACTGTTTGAAGGAGACTATTATTAAGTATGGTTAGGAGTGACTCTGGATTAACTCTGGATTAAAGATTAGCGAATAAACCTCAAGCATAGGATTGAACACTGCGCTGCAATTATCGCTGGTTACTTCTAAATGAATCCTGTTTTAATTAGCCATATTATATTTAAATAAATGAATTCCTCTCTGATCTGTGTTCGTCTTACCTTGGGTTTATTAAATGTGTGGACCTTTTGCTCCATTGTCCTGTAGTCTGCCGGGTATCTCTCTAAAAATTATTCTGTTTGGAAGCAGGTTATAAACACAGGACTTCTGTACCTTGAACTTTCACAAACGTATTTTCCTTGTCAATACATGCAGAGAACGGAAAGGGCGTCATCACAGTTTATTCCCAGTAAACATTCAAATTCATAAACAGAACATATTTGAAACTACATCTCCCATGGTGCTTTGGTAGCGTTATGGCACAGGTCAAAATCACAAACCTAATAGCCACACAGACACTCACACTTTATTAGTTACATTTAACACGCATCTAGCAACCAGACATGCTAACATACAGACACGCTAACATACAAACACACACGATAAAATTCAAAAACACAGACATGCTAAAATACAAACACACAGACACGCTAACATACAAACACACAGACACGCTAGCATACAAACACACACGATAAAATTCAAAAACATAGACACGCTAACATACAAACACACAGACACGCTAACATAAAAAAAGACACGCTAAAATTCAAAAACACAGACATGTTAACATAGAAACACATTCCTAAATTTTCACAAAATAACAAATAGCTATTCAGCCTCTCTCAAAGATGAACAGATTTACACAGTTAATTAGCCACATTCTCTATTACGTATGTTATTAATCACATATTATCACCTAAGACGCACGTATCACAAACCCCCCTGCCTCTTTTATTTATATGATGTAAATTTCCCAGCACTGCAGGCCCTGTAGCCCATGGATCAGCGCAGCTAAGAGGAATAGGCCTTGACAGAGCCAGGAGGTAGGCATAGCAGCCACAGGAATTTAGTGACAGCTAGCATGCTGGGTAGGGCGGAGCCATAAGGGGAGTATTTATACCAGCCATTATGTGAAGTGGCCATTTTAACTGAACCTAAGCTTACCTGTCAGTTGTGAAAGCTGCCTGCCCTGGAGGGAGAAGGCAGCAGCATGGAGGCAGCATAGCAGGACAGGCAGCATGGAGGCAGCATAGCAGAACAGGCAGCATGGAGGCAGCATGGCAGAACAGGCAGCATGGAGGTACAGGAGAGGCTGGAGTGAGCTGCTACTACATGATCACTCCCATCAGCAGCATGTAGAACAGACAGTACTGAGACAGGAGACAGCATGGAGGTACAGGAGAGGCTGGAGTGAGCTGCTGCTGCTGCATGCTCACTCCCATCAGCCTCAGACAGAACTCCAAGCAAGCCACCATCCTGGTCACAAAGGTTGTGGCAGAATCGTGGCTGGTGGCTGCAGGAGCAGCTGGGGGGCCCCGAGCACGTCTGTTACCCCCCCCCCACGCGGCGGTGGAAGAGAGGCCAGCAAGGAGAGCGAGGACGCCCCAGCGGCAGCCTGTGAGTGACATCGTTAGTTCGGCAGCCCGTGAGCCTGTCAGGAGGCGGCAAGGGGAAGGCTGAGAATGAGGTCGGAAAGCAGGCAGGAGTTGGAGGGCGGCTGGCGCCGTATGTTCGACGCGGCGCCGGTCAGGCAAGACGGCAGGTCAGGATGAGGCCGCACAGGAAGAGCGCCCCCTGCAATAAGGCGGGGGGGCGGGAAAGCACAAAGGACGGCGGAATCCAGCATGACATGATGGCCGCCAGGCAGGGAGAGCGGCAAGAGGCGTCCTGGTGAGTCTGCCCCTGGTGGCATACCTGAGTGACAGGGGGAATGATGCAAGGGCCCAGCAGTGTAAAAGCGTTCCCTCCTCCCCCCCCAAATGGGCAGGCGGGGGGGTTCCAGGTCGGCGGGACACAGACGGAGGCGGCACTGGATGGGGCCAGGGTCAGGTCAGAGGTGAAGGAATGGGATAGTGAAAGCAGCAGGCGGAGTCTTCACAGGCACAGCAGAGCAGCTATGGAGGGGAAGGCCAACAACCAGGATTAATTAAAGGGGCCACAAGTGGATGAGGCGGCCTGGGAGAGGCCAGGTACTGCAAGCAGAGGGCAGAAGAGAGGACATGGACGGGTGGAAATGGACGTAAGGTACAGAGGCAAGCGGGAGCCCCCTGGGGGGCGTTCTCAGGAGCAGGAACACAGGAGGAGCATCAGCAGGTGTGAGTACGGCAGGGAGCAGCGCAACGACAATGACAGGCACAGCAGCAGCGGGAGGTCGGATGAGGGATGGAGAAGCAGGTCGAGGAGTGTTACTTTTACGGGCTTGAGGCTGGACCAGCGCGGACAGGAGTCGGCATCCACCGGATACTCCAGAGCCTGGCAAGGGGGCGCGGGAGGAGGGACTGTCCAGTCTGGAGGAAATGTGGCAGCTCGAGATGCCATGCTTGGAGGATCGATACAGAATCCTATGGCACCGGGCACAGGGACTGCCTATGTGAACGTTTGAGATATGTGGGACAAGGCGGTTGGTTTCACTGTGGGGGCAGTCAAAGGAGGGGCGAAGGGATACCTTGCTGTGGTTCCTAAGCCGTTTGTTTGTTCAGCGTTAGCTCCATCAGCAATGGACAGGAGCATGGTGGCATTGTCGTTAGGGTTTAAACTGACTGATTGGGAGGAAGTGACGGAACGTTGTCACGTCCGTCAGGCATCGCGGGTCTTACGGAGAGATATGAAATATGTCGGTGCCGGGCGGTGGGTTTCCGTGGGTAACGCAACGCCTGGTGGTGTATTACCCTACTTTTGCAGTGAGTTTGCTTGCGGTGGCCTTCTCGGAGGCTTGGGGCAATTTGGATTGGGGAACTGGTGAGTGCCTTCGGGCAGGTGTTGGGGAGTTCTACACTCGGTTGTCGAACCTTAGTCGGTTAAGGTAACGATTCAGTAGGGTTGTTCAAGAACGAATGTGTCTGGTAAAGGAGGTTTGGTAAAGCTATATTCCCTGCCGGGGTCAGGGGTACGCCCGGTGTTAAGCGCATCATGCTACTTGGAGCTTTGCCCGGACATCCCGGATGGCTTACTGATAAAAGGGGACAGATCGGTGCTGTCACGATTCAATTCCCGCAGGTGTTTGTTCGAAGGGGTTTGACAATGTTGGGTTTGGATCCCGGGCACTTTGGGACCCATTCTTCCCAGGTGATGGCGGTAACAGAGGCACCCCACCTGGTTTTAAGTGAGGACCTAGGGAAACGTTTAGGCAGGTGGGAGTCAGTACGGTTTAAGTCCTGTTTCAGGCCAGTCTATTTGGTTTAATGGCTATGGACGTATGGGTTTGTGTTTGGGGCTATGCCGTGTCGCTAATTACTTTCGTTTCAGGTTTGGTGACATGGTTGGTGGGTCATTCTTATATCTAAGGGGCACAGATGGGAGCCGCGTTTCAGTTCAAACGTAACTGGGCTTTCCTTTGAAATTGGTGGAGCAGGAGTGGTTTTGTTTTTCAGGGATTTTGGTGGCAAGACATTAGGGGAGAAATTTTTCCGGGAGGTAACAAGGGGTACTTTCCAGGACATTCTGGATATTGGCATGGTCCCGGAAAAGGAATTGATCAGGTGGAGGCAGAGGGAGGTGGACCAGCTATGGGAGCTGGCCACGGGTGTGGTGGTGGTGCGGTCCGAGATGGTTCCTTGGTTACATTGGAGACATACTACGTACCCGGCCGTGGTAGCTCGGTGTCGAGGACAACTTAATAAAAAATTGATGGCGGTATTTATCAGATGTGGGGGCGGTGTAACAGTGAGACACAACGAATTGGGAGGAAAGCTCCCTGGGTACTCCAGGTGGGATGGGGTACATTTTCGGATGTAAGGTGTGATCTGTTTAAATTGGGCCTTCAGGAAGGCATTCAACAGGCCTTATTCCGGTGTGGTGGGGGTCGCTCAGGAGCTTTAGGTGTCAAGTCCTGAGCTGTGGCGGGGAATGGCCTGGTTAAATCGGAGGGTAGATGGAGGAGAAAGTGGGCATCCTGAGGTTTAGTGTGGATTGGGCAGTGTTGCACGTGGTTGGTAGGTTCGAGCCCGTCGGTGGCTCCGAACCTGGGGGTGTGGTGGTGTCTTGGTACACCCTACACTGGAACTGGTGGGTAGCGGTGTCTTGGTACACCCCTACAATGGATATGGTGGGTAGCGGTGTCTTGGTACACCCCTACAATCGATATGGTGGGTAGCGGTGTCTTGGTACACCCCTACAATTTAACCTGGTGGAAATGTGGTCAAATTGGGCGGCCAGTTTCTGTGTTAACATGTTATTTAGATTGTTATCTATTGTTATTATTGTGGGGTCATTGCTAGGGGTATGTTATGTATATGGGGGAGGTTAACATTATTAAGATTTGTTGGCAATGACCCCATTTGTTATTCCTTAATTATTTATTAATAATTTAATAAAGCTGTGGACAAATTATTTCCAACAGTATAACCTGTGTCAGTGTTTTAATGGGGGTTTGGGTAAGGTTAGCGCATATGCCGGCAAATCCGACTGTGCGCCTGTCATGTAGCCCATGGATCAGAGCAGCTAAGAGGAATAGGCCTTGACAGAGCCAGGAGGTAGGCATAGCAGCCACAGGAATTTAGTGACCGCTAGCATGCTGGGTAGGGCGGAGCCATAAGGGGAGTATTTATACCAGCCATTATATGAAGTGGCCATTTTAACTGAACCTAAGCTTACCTGTCAGTTGTCCCTCCCACCCTCCCTGTATTTGGTTAGGTTAGTTGATTTCCCGTTTTTTCACAGCGGCGGGGAATGGCCTGGTTAAATCGGAGGGTAGATGGAGGAGAAAGTGGGCATCCTGAGGTTTAGTGTGGATTGGGCAGTGTTGCACGTGGTTGGTAGGTTCGAGCCCGTCGGTGGCTCCGAACCTGGGGGTGTGGTGGTGTCTTGGTACACCCTACACTGGAACTGGTGGGTAGCGGTGTCTTGGTACACCCCTACAATGGATATGGTGGGTAGCGGTGTCTTGGTACACCCCTACAATGGATATGGTGGGTAGCGGTGTCTTGGTACACCCCTACAATGGATATGGTGGGTAGCGGTGTCTCGGTACACCCCTACAATTTAACCTGGTGGAAATGTGGTCAAATTGGACGGCCAGTTTCTGTATTAACATGTTATTTAGATTGTTATCTATTGTTATTATTGTGGGGTCATTGCTAGGGGTATGTTATGTATATGGGGGAGGTTAACATTATTAAGATTTGTTGGCAATGACCCCATTTGTTATTCCTTAATTATTTATTAATAATTTAATAAAGCTGTGGACAAATTATTTCCAACAGTATAACCTGTGTCAGTGTTTTAATGGGGGTTTGGGTAAGGTTAGCGCATATGCCGGCAAATCCGACTGTGCGCCTGTCATGTGTTTCACATTCGAGGAAGCCCCTGAGGACAGGTCGTGCCTAAAAGGGAAGCAGATATTCTGCCAAAATTCTATCCATACCTGTTGCCTGGAGACTGCTGCTTCCTGGCCAGAACAGAGGCTGTTGGACTCTAGGATCGCTGTATTGAGTCTGAATGAGATTGATCTGTGCATGGCCCCGCCCCCTCAGGCTGAACACCGTGATCTGTGCATGGCTCCGCCCCCTCAGACTGAACACAGTGATCTGTGCATGGCCCCGCCCCCTCAGGCTGAACAGTGATCTGTGCATGGCCCCGCCCCCTCTGACTGAACACCGCAATCTGTGCATGGCCCCGCCCCCTCAGGCTGAACAGTGATCTGTGCGGGCAGTGTGCCCGCCCACCCTCTGACTGAACACTGCAATCTGTGCATGGCCCCGCCCCCTCAGGCTGAACAGTGATCTGTGCATGGCCCCGCCCCCTCTGACTGAACACCGCAATCTGTGCATGGCCCCGCCCCCTCTGTCTGAACACCGCAATCTGTGCATGGCCCCGCCCCCTCTGACTGAACACCGCGATCTGTGCATGGCCCCGTCCCATCTGACTGAACACCGCGATCTGTGCATGGCCCCGTCCCATCTGACTGAACACAGTGATCTGTGCATGGCCCCGCCCCCTCTGACTGACCACCGCAATCTGTGCCTGACCCCGCCCTCTCAGACTGAACACAGTAATCTGTGCATGGCCCCGCCCTCTCTGTTCTTATGACCCGGTCGTGAAGTGCATGCGCACCAGTGCAGGTCTATGTTTGGGGAAATTTTCCCGAACATAGACAAGCGCAGCAGAGCAGGGAATCCCTCAAATTCCTCAAACATAGACCAGCTGGTCATAAACGCAAGCCGTGATAAAACAGGTAGGTTGCAAAATGAGGACCACCTGTATTAGGTTAATTAAATTGATGCAGGTCTAATTATTGAGCCTGATTGTGAGTGGAGACAGGAGGGTTTAGTTGGGATGGGAAAGGGGAGGGGGACTCCTTTTTGGGGGTTTTTCCACACTGCTTTTCCACATCTTTGATAATGCAAAGTCATTACTGGGATCACTGAACTGCAAAATGTAGCAGCCCTAGCAGGGCGGTGGATAAAACCAGATATGGCAGTGTGCCAAGAAAGAGACAGGTCGAAAATAATGGCAGTCTATAGTTAGGTATACTTTGAACAGAAATATCATGTTTTAAAAATATTGTGTGAAAGGTAGGATACACTTAAAGGAAATGATCTTCTCTAATCCATTTTTCCCCCTAAACTTATTAACTAAGATGACTTTTTTAAAACATCAGTTTGAATAGCATGTAATACCCGATTTGGAATCATCTCATTATATCTTAAAGGGATACTATAGGCACCCAGGCCGCTGAATCTTATCTCAAGGTGGTTTGTGTGCCATATTCCTGTCCTTTTAACAGTGCAGCTGAATACATTGCTGTTCTGCACAAATGGCAATGATTACATTTCAAGTTTAAAATTCCTCTAGTGGCTGTTACTCTGACAGCCCCTAGAGGTGCTTCTACCAAAATAGCCGAATGAAACTCGGCTATTTCAATCAGATGATCTCATTGATTGGTGCAGCTCTGCATTTTGCCGTGCATGCACAGTAGCATGGGAAATCATTGGATTGGCTGAGATCATCTACATTGATCATCTCTGCCAAAGAAGCAAAGCTTCCCTGCGGTGACTGGTCCGATGAGGACTGGATGGTAAAGGAAGTAAAACTCATGTTTGTAATTCTAATGATATAGTGTTTCTTTAAAAAAGTAACTCTCCACCTCGGTGCAGTCATTGTCCAGCTATCTTCACCTATCTGCAGTGAGGAGTCTATCTCAGTGCCGGGGTAAAGGCCAGTTTAGTTGTGTTTTTATATATAAAAAGGAGTTCTGAAAAAAAAAAAATGAGGTAATGTATTCCTTTAAATTTTCAGTTCTTTGATCAATTATTTTGGAGAACTTTTATATCAAGATTAAATTAAGAAATAATTCTATAACCAGATATACAATCCTTGTTCTCCTTTGTTTTTGTTACCTACAACATTTGGAACCTGCTTTTACAGTCCATCCATTCCATTTTACTCTGATCTAAGCTAGCATAAAATTGAATAATTCCGTCACAGGGACCAGGTTGTAAACTTTTTTTGAACCATATCCGGTGGAAAATGGAATCATTCATTTTTAGTGTTCAAATCAAATCCAAGTGTTTTGTTTTTTTTATAATTTACTTTTTCATTTCACAGTTAAACTGTATATTTGAATGTTAAAATGTGAATATCATGCATGGTTGGTCTTTAGGGTTATCCTTTTTTTGTGTTTCTTATTTCTTTCATTAAAGTTACACTCCAAACCTCTTGACTGCTGACCCACCCATAATCCCCATCACGTTGCCCCTTAAATAAAAGTCTGACTCCTAATTAGTGGATAGGGCAACGGCCACAGCTTTATTTCTGAACACACTCACAGGCCAACAAACATTGCCAACTGTCAGCCGTTTGAGAGATTACCAGACAGACAGATAACCAAACCATGAGTCCTATGCAGCCTGTCTTTCTCTATCAGCCTTCAGCAGACTCTGAGTTCCGAAGCTCTGGAATGGACAAGGAACTTTAAGCTCTCGTTTTAAGCTGGCCAAGACATCTGCCAAGCTGTGAGAACAACAGAACAGAAAACACAAATTAAGCAAAGAATGACAAACCAAGCAACCAAGCCAACAGTGGGTGGGTGGTCAAAATCACAGTTTGCCTACACTCAACTGTCCAGCACTCTCTGACAAGACACACCACTTACTGACCCTAGTATCGCTTTTCCAACAACTTGCATTGTTGCCTTGACTCTCCAATAACCTATCTGGGGGCAGCGATCATGCCCCCCCACATTTGTAATGGGGGGGAGGAGAGTTTCTTTATATGTGTATAGTATGTCCACTTTTATTTCTTTTTTACTCATATAACTAGATGAGAAATTGGCACTTTTATAAATGAACTTTGGTCCACACCCTCCTGGCTGTCAATCAGGCGGTCAGTCCTGTTACTTCCTGATTGTTTAGCTCTGTGGAACTAAACTTTTATGCAGCACCAAATGCTCAGAACTCCTGCCTTGCAAAGAATTCTCATAGAGCTACACTGGGATGTCTTTGATTGGGCAACCACAGAAAGAATGGCAGGGCTTGCAAAGGATATAGCCCCAATGAAAAAAATGCCTAAATAAATATGTATCTAATATAAAGTTGTTGTTTTGTTTTGTTGACAGTGGAGGGTCCCTTTTAAGATTTAGCTCAATTTGTTTTTCTTGGTATATTGTAAATATTTTAATATAAGAATCCCTTCCTTTTATAAGATCACATTTTCTATGTTTTTTTAAACCTAGTTAATACATTTTTTTATCATTATTTGACCTCTCGTTTTGCCTAATACACTATAAAACATTGCCGCTTTATCTTCAGTTTTTTCTTTTTTTAAATACCCAATTTTATGAGATTATTAAATAGCTCACATCATTTCTTGGAAACTTTGTTTTGCGTTATTTAATCAGGACGTTCTGCAGATGCCAGCATGATTGTGTCTAATTTCCAGATGGCTCCAATAATATTACAGTGTTATTCACTGCTCCGGGGGTTTGTTACAAATTTACCAGGAAATAAAAAACAAATTCGGCTTAAAAAAGCAAAATTGAAATTATGACAGAGCCTCGTCCAGTCACACGAAAAACCGGCGCAGGATTCTAGAAAACTTCTCCAAAAGAGTTCACAATCACCCCTGTTTGCTTCCTCTGCTGTTCCAGCAACTCCAACGTAGCAGAGCCCTCTGATTCCAGAGACATTGTAGGCAGGACAGAGAAAGATACAACCATCAGCAGGAAACACAGCCGACCTTCAGGAAACATAGAAACATAGAATGTGACGGCAGATAAGAACCATTCGGCCCATCTAGTCTGCCCAATTTTCTAAATACTTTCATTAGTCCCTAGTCTTATCTTATAGTTAGGATAGCCTTATGCCTATCCCACGCATGCTTAAACTCCTTTAGACAGGAACTCTAGGTTAGACAGGATCGGCACCACTGGTCGGTACAATTTCCATCAAGCACTGACCGGCACCTACTCAGCAACAGCATCGAACCCTGTGTCGGATCCGAGGTTAGCCGAGGCCCAGTAAAACTTTACGCTCCGATTTCTCTGGCTGGGTGCACATTTTGGACATGTTATACTTGGGGACTGGTCCTATCCGGGGTTGTACATTATGTAGGTTACTTGTGGGGAACTATATGTTTTGGGGATTCTGTTGTATTGAACCCTGGTGCCTAGTTGTTAATTAAATTATCTAGATGTTGATTGAGTTATGTCCCAGTCACTGAGGCGGCAGGGTGAGAATACATTTTTTCTGTTGATGACCACCTGTTGGTAATGATGGTATAAATAAGTCTGTGCTAGGACCATCAAATATGTCTGTTTTAATCCTTCATCAAGCCTCGGCTGATGTTTGGGGACACTGCTATAGTCCCTTCTACTATCCTGCTCCAGGGAAAGAGTGAATTTGGTGGACATACTCGGAGTATAGGAGCTCTGCCACAGAAATAATTCTCCAATTTGTCTATTTTATTCAACTTGGCTAATTTGGCCTAAGTTTTTAAATTCCACAGTCAAACCCTGATCAAGCTCAGTTTAGTGAATAATTCTGTTGGTTTCCTGTAAGGAAGGGTTGGGCACTGGGCCTTAGTTTGGATGTGATCTTCTTAAACCCCTTAAGGACACATGACGGAAATATACACGTCGGCTTCTAGTTGTGTAAACTCTCTCCTTTGTGTAAACGTTTAACAAATTTAGTAATTGAATGATACTGGTCGAAGAAACAAAAGATGGAGCCCGGAGCTATTGATTTTTTATTTTTCACCTTCCAATAGCATTTTTAGACTGTGCAGGTCTTTAAATAATTTTCCTTGGCAAATCAATATTCTTTTCTCCAGGGTACTTGGTCCATGATGTACTTGTGATATATCTAGTGAAATATTTGACCCGCAAAGCTACTTGCTTCTGCAAAAAAGGTTTTGAGGTTTAGAACCTTCAAGCTGACCTCCAGGGTTTGATATAAGAAGCCATCATTGCAACGACCAGTGCCGTTACACCAGGGTTGGTTTGGTGTAAGAATGTCACCACATGGGAGTAGGGAGTGAATGCAACATATTCTGTTGCATTAGAGAAATAGCTTTGTGGTGTCTGGACACAAGCATATGTCCCTGCACAGGAATGGTGGGCAGAAACAAACCCAGGAGCCTGCATTGACATGTTCCGTTACTGACTCCAAATTTTAGGAATGTGGGTTTTCAGTTAAAAAGACAAACATTTAGTAGGGAGAATGAGCTTCACCTACCTTGGGTATATGATTTTATTAAAGGACACGGAGGCTCATATTAGGCTTTCTCTCTTTCTTTATTCCTCAGCAGCAAGAAAGGATATTGATATTTTTAACCCCTTGAAACTGGAGGGCATACTATTACGCCTTATTCTAAGCGGCTCTAAACGCCGCAGGGTGTAATAGTACGCCCTCACGTTTTTTTCTTACTTACCCGGTCACCGGCGATCCAACACCAGCGATCGTGGTCGGGGACTCACCTGGGATCCCCTCTGCAGGCTGGAAATCAAATAAAATAAAGTTAAAATCAGTGTAAAAAATATATATATATTATATATATATATATATATATATATATATATATATATAAATAAAAGACAAAAAAATCCTTGCACTCACGTATTCCTTTTAGGTATTGTCTGGTGCATGAGCCAGCGGACAAGCTAATTATAGAAACAAAAAGATGATGGCTGCACTCCTCGGACTTCTTAAAAATCAAAATTCTTTATTATAAATCCATTTATAAAATGACCAACGTTTCAGCCCCTCTCTGGGCTTTCATCAGGATAAAAAAAAAACACTACTAAAATTCTAATATAAACAGTTACTTATATATCTAAAAGAAGAATTGAAAAACTTACCACAGCTGATGTCCATGCCCGCCCGGCGTCCCAGTGAACTCCGTGCGCATGTGCATACCTATGCAATCAAAACGAACAGATGTGACCCAGAAAATGTTGCCATAGTAACCAGGCAACACTAAAACAAAGCAGCGAAAAGCAAGCAGGAAGCCCGCCCACTGGAAACACTTACACCAACCCGACGTCAACACGTAAAACATGACGACGTCAGGTGGTGTCAATAGTCTGGCAAAACGTCTCCATAGAGACTGTTTCCTTAGAAACCTAGCGCCTGCGTTCATAGGACCCCGGACCGGCGGGGCAAAGCCAGTGGTCAAAAAAAATACTGTACACAAAAGAAAGAAAACTATACACAAAAGAACTGGCATGAAAAAAAGGGGACAAGCACCTATATACACATTTGCAAAAGTGGCCCAGTGTAGTACATCAAATAGACCAATAAAACAGTTAACTATTCCTAATATTGAATAATAAGAATAAACTACTATTAGGCAGTCTAATAAAAATAATAAAAGAAGAATAAAAAGTGCTCTATTAATTGTGAAATATGATCTATATGGTATAAAGTATAATTGAATAAAGCTATATACTATGTGTAATAATAATGAGTCTATATATAGCATGTATCAGTAACATAATTGATACATGCACTGATAAAGTGGAAGAATAATTTAAATATATCAATATGTAAATTCATATATATTTTACTAAAAAATATATATTGTTGAACTAATTAACATTAAAAGTGACTTGTGCTAAGGGAATTTCAATAAAATTACATCTAAAAAGACTTAATGAATTGATATGTATATTTTTAAAGTGACAGTAAAAAGTGTAGGAAATAATATATTAACCGATATAAGAAAGTGTCATAGTGCCATTAGATTTAAGACATATATCAAGTATACATCTATGCTAGAACAAAACCATGCCAGATTTTATACTACTCAAAAAAGAACTACATATAAAGCTATACATATACAGTATCAAATGTTAATAAATAAATACATTGTAAATTTCATCACAAGCTGGAAATCTTAGATTACGTGTTGACGTCGGGTTGGTGTAAGTGTTTCCAGTGGGCGGGCTTCCTGTTTGCTTTTCGCTGCTTCGTTTTAGTGTTGCCTGGTTACTATGGCAACATTTTCTGGGTCACATCTGTTCGTTTTGATTGCATAGGTATGCACATGCGCACAGAGTTCATTGGGACGCCGGGCGGGCATGGACATCAGCTGTGGTAAGTTTTTCAATTCTTCTTTTAGATATATAAGTAACTGTTTATATTAGAATTTTAGTAGTGTTTTTTTTTATCCTGATGAAAGCCCAGAGAGGGGCTGAAACGTTGGTAATTTTTTTAATGGATTTATAATAAAGAATTTTGATTTTTAAGAAGTCCGAGGAGTGCAGCCATCATCTTTTTGTTTCTATAATTAGCTTGTCCGCTGGCTCATGCACCAGGCAATACCTAAAAGGAATACGTGAGTGCAAGGATTTTTTTGTCTTTTGTATTTTTTGGGAGATTTTGACAAGTCTTCCTCCTGTGCACCAGTCCTGTTAAACATTTAGTGGAAGTGCCCCTTCAGCACATTGACTTATATTCTATATGAGGATTTAACTTGATTTTAATGGACAATTTTTTTTCACAAGCTGGTGGGTATTCAGAACAAGCTGATACCCTACATTTTACTGATGATGAAGCTCAGCAAATCTTGTGGGAACAGTCAAGTTTGCAATTACCACAACAGTGGACAGGCAAGGATATTTACTTTAAGCTACTCCGATTGCATAAGAAATATATTGATTTGGATTTACATGGATTATTTCTGTCCGACTATTATAAAGCTAAAAGAATTCCAAGGGGATTTAGGATTTTAAATATCCCTACCATTGGGCGTACTAAACCAAAGGTCTGTAAAGACTGGACCCATGTATTAAATAAAGCCTCATTGGACTTAATGTTAATCATTATACAGGATGTTAAGGCTGATATGGTTGAAGTAAATCAGAGTATTTTGAATCTTGAAACTGAACATGCAGTGTTTCTTACAACACCGGAGGGAGTACAGCTTAAATTAAAATTAAAAGAAGAACTTGTCAAATACAAAAATGAATTGATTAAGTTCAAGCGTGCCAAATTTGAGCAAGTCCAACTAGATTACCAACAGCATAGAGTATATAAATGGTTGTCTGGAGACAATCAACACAAACCCAGGAGATTTCGTAAAAGGATACAACGTCCTAAAGTTACCACCATTGACGTCACCTCAGGTGAGTCAGCTTCTGAAAGTGACACACATCATGACACTCTGGCTTTTTTAGAAAGCGTGGGCACGATTACCAGAAGTCGTGTAGTAGACCAAGGAGGAGCAGAACAAGACGTGGGCACAAGGGCAAAAACTGGCCCCCGGGGCAAACCACCCCACAGGAAGTAGTACCAATATTTAATTTGTCATGTAGGAAATTGACCCCTGAAGAAATTGAAATTTTGAGCCGTGGTCTATCGTTTGTACCCACGTCATTTCCAAATGAATTTATGTGGAATGTGGAACTTTTTAAATTTGGTCGCAGTATGCGCCTAAAAGAATATTTTGGCCGTTCACACCCAACATTGTCAGATACAGGAACTTTGCATCAATTCAAATGTAAATCTATATTCGATCCCCAGTCTAGCAAAGCATCTATAAAAACCTATTTAACGACATCTAATAAGATGCTACAAAATATCTTCTCACGGCAAAAAAATGTATCACAGAATATAACCTAAGCATCAAAGGAGTATAATCAAACAGTTGGCAGATGATTCTACTACTTGTGATTAGAGCAGCGGACAAGGGTGGCGGAATTGTTATATTAGATTATCGATATTATGCAGATGAA